GGATATGGGCTCCTGCGAACTGTTAGTAGCTTTGGGATGACCCGTGGTGGTTAAAGGAATCGTGTTGTCTCTTCCATCACATCAGCATGTCTCCGATGCAGATTCTTTACTGCCATCATTTCATGGTATATCAAGTCCATGAGCAACGTACTGCTTCTGCTTGGCATGCCGATGATTCCGTCACTGCATTTATATGATAGGTTTATACTTTGCTCAAGCCTCTGGTCACCACCGACTGCTGTGAAGCGCGCCGGTTTTCTCCTTGATGGAAAAAGTTCCTATTGAGAAGTTCACATGCACTGATGGTGCAGTTTTGAGATAAACGCCACATGTCTCCAGGTAGACAAGAGCACCAGCCGAAGATAGTGGTCGAGTCAAAAGCGGCGAATAAGTATAGAGCACGTTGTTGACGGCATCAAGATGAAGTTCCGCATATCCCCTCACATTTGCTCTCAACAGATCATGCACACAGTCATCATGCGGAGGAACTGAGCCCAGAATCTGAAGTTCTCATTCACAGCAGACTGTACGTGTTGCGATGAACGTATTCAGATATTCGAATAACTTGGGTAGATGCAGTTGCAGAGCCTGGCCATAAACTTCGGACTGTGCAGTGACGTTCTTCTTCGTAACACTTGATTTGAGGTCAGTCAGGATAGCAAGCTCATGTGAATATTGCTCAACACTCTCTCGGTAAATAATTCTTTGTAGAGTAGACGCTGGAACGTTTCAGCAAGGAGTTGCATGCTTCAAGACAGCGGCTTGTAGTGTCCTCCATTGAGAACTGAGTTCTGAATAATGGCTGGACAAAGACACCGGCATGTAGCCAGGTCATGTCGGCCTCCACTTCCACCGAGGGCTTTTCTCAAGCACTTCAAAACAGTTTTCACCAAAGTGAAATGTCCCCAAGCATGGGACTAGAGTGCTGAATTCCTGCGGTCTCATCAATTGAATTTCCTTGACGATACAGTACCTCCATTCGTCACAATACATTTGGATTTCTGTTTGAACAGCTGTGAGCCAATGGACATGAAATTCCTCATCGCAGAATAAAACTGTTGCATACTCAGTAAACAGGATAGGCAGGACAGGCAAGAATGCGAGGGTTCTTTTCTGGGATGTTCTCCTCTGTCACTACAGCGTTGCTTGCACTCCAAGAAGGCATTGTTTGTGATGGAGGATAGATGAAGACCTGATTTTTGGGTGACATCTACGCGGGCAAGGGACAGATAGTATCTTTTAGTTTAGCTGCATCAACATTTACAGATAGAATAGACGTCGTTGCTCACTTCAATAGGATGGCAGGAAGGTCAGGACGGCGATCAGATTTGTGGAACTCTGAGAGAATTTGACATGGTAGGATTTAGCTTAAAAGCTTGTTTTGCCGTGTCTGACCTAAGTGTCAGAAATCTTGGGTTACGGGTGTGATGATGACGTTTGTCTTGGTAAAGTACAGTCACTGTATCATGCTCCGATACATTTGTACCTCATGATCCCAATTTCAATGGCGCCAGAAGTGAATTGCCCGGGATCAAAGTGACAGGTTAGCGCAACGCGGGTTTTGGTTGTGCTGTGCCGTGAAAGATCATGCGAGATTCATGTTGGTACCTACGCAGCTCTGCGGTAGCTAATTGCAAGTCCTTCATGGTTTAGGGTTGTGGTCACAATTTTGCCTCCGCGTCCAAGACCATGAACAGATTCCGCATTCATGATATGCATGGGTGTTCTCCTTCTGTCGTTTCTTTCGTCACCTGTTACAGTTCTATGATGCATGTATATCCTTCAATCATCTTTCTATGGGACAATTCGTCTCGTAATTATCGCTTTTGGCAGATTATCTTATACTTCTTCTAAGTAGTGTGAACTCCAAAATGTATAATAATGTTGTCAATCAATTCCTTGGTGTCAAAAAAACCTATATGTTGCCACAAAATCAACTTCCTATGTCATTTACTTACGGAGTTATCACTTCATTGACGAAATTCGTAAAAGGCGCTATTTGGGGGTAGGGTTGACCCTGAGTTACAATAGCCCCCCTGTGCATCTATTAGAGTGGGGAAGCATCGTTTTGAAGGTTGGGTCACTTAAGAGCACTTAATAAGGGAAACTTTTGGTCAATTTTGGTAGCTCTAGCTACAATATTGGTGCGAGTGAGAAGCAATCATACTATTATATTAGAGCTACTTTCAAAGTGAACGCGATTTTTTGGCTATTTTTGGCTAAAATTGAGCAAAATGTAGCCATTTCGTACTATGAAAACAACGTTTATGGCAACAAATCATGCTAGAAGTTATTAGTAATACTCATTCAGTGTAATTCAATGCAATTTGAAAGTTTATGGTTGCTTAATAAATATTTATGCTCTGAAACTTCAATATTGTAATTTTTTCACTTTGGCGCCTAACCGATAATCGCATAATTAGCTGTAACAGAAAAAACGTACTTGACCCAGAAGTGTTACCCAAACTTTTTTTGAGAGTCTTACCATAAGGAGATGAGAAAATATAAGGTTTTGCTCTAAAAGAGTCATGTACACGAACACCCCCCCCCCCCCCCCCAGAGCCAGGACTATAACGGCATCAATTAGTTATACTGTTATTTATACATGACGTCACGTTACATTTATTCTCTCTCCAAGTTTTTGGAGCTCCGCCGATCTTCAGAGGAATTCGATTAGCCGGGTTGAGCTGAGCGAGTTCGCTACTAAGCTGTGGGGGCTTCGACGACAACAGAAATGGTACGGGAGACCTAGTGTGGACGTGGGCAACTATTCTGGCAACTCCAACGCAGACCAGTCGCCCAAACCCGTGAGTGTTTCACATCAGCTCACGCACGCACACTCGTGCACACACGATGCATACGCAACACACAAGCTACACGCCACACGCACAACGCACTACCCACGCACGCATTGCGCACACGCACGTACCACGGCGCACGCACGCAGCGCGCAGCCACACACAACACGATTTGTCACTGACCATTGACACTGGACGTCAGAACTTAATCAATGACAGTCACACATTAATCAGTGTAATCACTATATTTTCCAGTGTAATCTAACTAAGCAATCCCTGACTCATCTCAGTGATTAATTGGACGCAGGCGCTCATGACACCACAAATCCACAATGCGAACTTCACCTATTCACCCAATTCACTAATGCGCAACATATCCTCTACGTATGCTTGTTTTACCATAATTATTATAATTTAGTTATTATTAACATTTAATTAGGTTGGAATGTTTGGAATCCCGTGCAAATTCTCCTCAGCTTCTTCACGCTAATGGTGGACCGCCGACCTTCTCAATACGCCAACCTATCAGAGGTTCATGAAGCTGCTGAATAATCTCGGACGATCCCTACTTGGAACGGCCCGGAGACGGAAGACAAGCCGAGGGGAAGAGACCAGGGCAAAGTTGGAATTGCCTCGATCGAACATCATGAAGACGGCAGGCGTCATGGACGCGGAAACCCGCGCTCTCGTCTGATCGGGCAAAACGTGGTGTGGTCACGGCCGTCACGAATGCGGGCGCGAACAACGGCGGGAGGGCGGGCGCGCGCTCACGGCTGGTAGTTCGCTATCAGGGGTGTGTGTGGGCAGTGCGGCGCGTTTCGGTTCAACGGCGAGGAAACAACAACTCTACGATCACTACCAAATAAGATAAAGACAGAAACATAATATTTACATTTTCATCTCTATATCAAGTTCATCTATATCATTATCTCTCGATCTCTCTCTCTGCTCTTGAAAAACTACAAGTTTGACTGTACTTGGCACGTGTGTGTCTGATGGCCCGCTCTCTCAGATTGCTTATATTGCGTTTAGGTCAACTCCCAACGCCCTTGCCTTTGTTCCTAACATTAATGGGATCTGGCGTTCGGAGGCTACGTTAAACGTCTGG